TGGGGATGGTCTCATTGTGTTTGTCTTGCCGAGACGCATCGACTGATATGCAAAATGACCTTTTCCGGTCAGGTCATGACCTTGACCTGAGGTCAAATTTTCAAGTTGACCTTTCAAGGTCAAATTATAGTTCATTCGATGTGTCTCGGCGAGAGGAACACGATTCTGGCAATATAAATGTCATGGCTTTTTTTAGTCAAAAGTTATTATCGAAAAACACTTTCCGTAAAAAAAGCTATTTTTGGAGTTTTTGCCCTCTGGATGCTAAACCGTTGACCTGAGGTCAATTTTGATAATCACCTTTTCAAAAGAAGAGTTCAAGAGCTATCAATTTCTTTTCCACGCATTTTTCTAGCTATCACAGTTCCTGAGATAAATGCATGCTTTCTGAAAAATATAATGACGTTTGGCAAATTTTGACCTTTGATGACCTCCAGTGACCCCAATATTGCTTTTAGATGAAAAATGACCGAAATACTTTCAAACGTACGCATTAACCCGGCAGGCGGTGGGCCTCCTGGCCACCTTCCGCGCGGTGGGGGGGGGGGGCATTTTTTTGCCCCCCCCCCCCCAGTATCTCCGAAACTACTGGACGGATCCGGAAAATTCAAACGGCGTTCGATAGCCCTTTCAAATTTGTGAAGAGAAACCAAATTTCATTGACCTCAGGGTCACCGATGACGTCACAGGTCAGGTCAAAGATAAAATGTTTCACCGTTCACGGGGTTTCTAGGGAAAGCGCTATAACACCGAGTAAAACGCATTTTGTCGAAAATCATCGATAGGGCGTCAGTTGTCTAGTGCATATGTTGCTATTAGAGGTCACTGGTCATACCAGGTCAGGTCACAGGTCAGGTCACCAAAGGTCACCAAGGGTCACCACATGAACCCAACTTTACTAAGGTTGTGCGATGCATGTTTTATGGCCAGTTTTTCATTTCCAACTCAATGGTGTTGGTTATAAGACCATCAGGTACGGTTTAGGTCACTTTCTGGTGGAGGTCAGGTCAAGGTCAGGTAAAAAAAGGTCAAATTTCAAAGTTGATATTTTGGCATAAAATGGGTATTGATTCGATGCAGCTCAACACGGGGAGTCTATGATGGTCTTTGTTTTGCGCTACGAGGTCTAGAATTGCTAAAAGTTGAGTTTGAAAATTTGACGTCATCAATTTTGAACAGTTTTTTTCGCTATAACTTGGCCCAAAAAAGAGGTATCGATCTCAAATTTGGTATGTAGATAGAAGGCGGTAGGGACTATCACATGTATTCCGATTTTTTTTTTCGAAATTCAAAAACGTTTTGGATTTTACGGCTATTCTATTCAAAAAAATCTGTTTTTTAATTTTTGGGGGTCAAAATAAAAAAATCGAAAAACCGAAATGGCAGTTTTGTAGCCCTCTTGATTCCACACCTTTTATGTTGAAACATTTTTCTGTATCTCTAAAGCTGTAGGCCTGACAGCTCTTCCCGCGAAACCTTTTTTTTGGTCGAAAATGGCAGAAATGACGTCACTCTGACGTCATTAGCGGCCAACCTATTAAAGCCTTTGGAAAATTTTGGTAACTATGTGCGCTAGCTACTCCCAGGAGGGTACTGAAAGCTTGGTGACGATCGGCGCAGCGGTTCTCGAGATATATCGAAAAAACTAAAGGGGGAAGGGGGCAAAAAATACCCCCCCCCCCTCCGCCTGGAAGGTTAAGAGCTGTCGATTGCTTTTTACCGCGTCTTTCTAGCCCTCTTGGCTCTTAGTTTTTGAGTTAGAGGTGGGTGGTAACATATGCCCCCCCCCCCCCAGGGCGAAGTTGGCTGAGACCGCCACTGGGGCGCGGGTTAACCCGCGCCCCACTGGGGGGGGGGAGCCCCCCCTCCCATTTTTCTGCAATAACTTCCAAACCGCTTGACGTATCGACGCCAAACTTTCAGTACCTTCGGCTGCATCAATTTGACACCTTGTGTCAAAATTTGAACTTCGTACCTACCATAGGTCGGCCGGAAATGACGTCAGAGTGACGTCATGTTCGGCCGATTTCGACGCAAAACATTGAACCACGGCAATCGCTCCCAAGAGCTCAGTTTTTAAGCTAGATCCAATTTCTTTGCATGAGAGGACTCAGAATAGACTGCGCTATCAAACTGTTATCTCGGATTTTCGAAATTTTGAAAATTTCGAAAATTTTATATAATAAAATTCAAAATTTATATTTTTTCATTTTTTTCAAAATCTTTTTGACTTTTCGAAAAAACCGGAATATATGTGATAGAACGCATTATTATGACTAACTCTACCAAGTTTTAGCTAAATATCTTCAAAAATGGCCAAGTTATACGCATTATTGCAAAAAATTAACAATTATTAATTTTTCAAATCAATTTTTCAGCACGAGTTTGACATCGTACGCCAATATAAATAGCACCATCGTGTTCCTGAGCTCAAACTGCATCCAATAGATACCTTTTTTGTTGAAAAATTTTAACTTCAAAATTTGACCTTTTTTGACCTGAAAGTGACCTGACCTAAGCTAAATTTGACTCAAAATGACCTCGAATGACACAGACGACATCAAATTCGAAATCTATGGCCTAAATGGACCATAAAACATATGTCACGTGACCGACGCATGATATAATATTTCCGTGACCTGTGATGACCTGACCCTGACCTGAAAATCAAAGTACAAGTTTGGTACCCTCAAGGTATCTAGAGCATCTGTTCACGAGTGGGGAAACAAAAATGAGCCTGATCTGACTGGTAAGACGGCGGCCAGAGCCCAAAACGTGAAGAAGCCAAAATGCTAATAATTTTTACTTTGATCTGACCTGTGACGTCATCGGTGACCTCGAGGTCAATGAAATTAGGTTTCGCTCGACAATTTTTCCGGGGCTATCAGACGCCGTTTGAATTTTGACGATCGGCCCAGTAGTTTCGGAGTTAGGAGGGGGGGGGGGGCTATGAATAGCCCCCCCCCCCCCCAGTAGGGCGTGTTATACGCAGACCCCAGTGGGGCGCGGGTTAACGTGTACCAACAGTCTGATAGGTAATGCATAGATACTTGCGTGTGAGGGTGCTTTATTTATAGTCACAACTCATGATCTCTTTTTGACTCGAGTATGAATTGGCGGCGCGAAGCCCCGCGAAAATTGGCAAAATCACTTGGCGAAACAGCTCTAAAACACATACATTTTGCAGCCCGTGTAACAAGTTTGATGCCACAGCACCTAAGATCTTATCACCAAGTCAAGTGGCCCTGCATATGAAAAAATTGAGCCCTTCGGCTTCACATAAAAAACAATTAGGTACACTCTTCGGCTCTTTGGAGCCAAATGCTCCCATAAAGATGCTTCCTGCTATGGGCTTTTTCGGGTGCTGATCACGAATATCACGTTGGTTTTGATCACAGATGATGTCTTCATGCATTTGGGCTAGGTCGGGCCGGGTCAGGTCAGGTCAACCAGTACCTGCCGGGTATTCGAAGTAGGTGTCAACCACCTCTGACAGCTTCGTAACATGTTACGAAGGCACCAAAACTGCTTCGTAAGTGTTCATATGGTTGCCAAATTCGAATTCAGCTCCAAAAACTACCCTAGAAAGTAGAAACAAGTAAAACTCGAAAAAGTGAATCGAGGTCATCAAAAGTCAATGACCTGACCTGACCTTCAGGTGACCTTGACACCCACCCTAATGCATGGGGCAACATCATATCACATGTTTGAACGCTTGAAACCACGAACAGACTGCAAACGTGCAGCTATAATGCGAGCCGACATACGCCGAATCGCGATTCCGACCAAACATGGTCTCGAAAAGTAGGCCACAGGTCAAAGGCCACTTGGGTAGGGGTCATGAAATTTTCAGGGTAGGTGTAAAATTAATTAACGCGAGGGTACTGAAAGTTTCGTCGCCATCAGACATTTTTACGCCGAGTTATTTGCGAAAAACCGAGGGGGTCCGTTCGACCCTCTCCCCCTATACGGGGAAGGGTTTTAGGGTGTTTACAAGTCCATGATCATCCCCAAACCTGGAAACTCATGTATATGATTGAAAATGGAGAAACTGGATGTTAGTGTTCTACTACGTATTTGTGTGTGTGTTTTGTCAAGACTTAAAAATTAATAAATGGGGGGGGGCTCTAAGTTTCCCAGGGGGGCTCAGTTCAGCACAGGGGGGCTCAAGCCCCCCCAAAGAGATATAAAGTTACGCCCCTGATGGATATGTATCATAGATAATGCTCTCAACTAATTTGAAGATACCTACAAATGCTAAGAGTGCCTACTGTGTCTGTGACGTCATAAGAATGATCCCTGTATTTTTAGTCTTTCAAATGGTTATATTTCTGGTAGATTTGGAGATATTATAATGAAATTTGACATGCATGAACTGAAGGCAGTAAGGTGGTTTCTGACACTAAAACCCCAGCAGTTCAGGTTCGTTGACCTGACATCTGATCTCAGGTCACTAAAATTAGGCCAGTTTTGCAGTTTTTAGTTCATATGTTACAAAACTGTGCTTGTAATTTGTCCTGATCTTTAACCTTTGCCCAGATGCAGGGGAGAGGGAGGTGGTTGACCACACCCTACCAATTTTTGCGTATCCACTTGTCCACTCATATCCAGCTCTGACCCGTAGCCTGCCGGATAGTGCTTTCGGCGCCCACCAGTGGCGACATCTGGATCTGTTCATAAGAATAAATACAGAGATGACGCCACAGGCCTCACAAGCAGCAATCCAGACCCATCATATCCCACCATCCGAAGAAACTAACACCAGCATATTGATAAAGCAATGCAATAAGCCAATAGGACGTAATAGGATTGGCTAGGGTGCTACCACCGATTTCTCACGATTGCTCGGCCGCGGATTGTTCGAAGCCCGTTGGAGGTTGAGAGCTGAAAGCTAGCATATTGACCTTTGACTCAAGCCGGGTCCTGTGACATCAAGCACATTTTCAGGCCTAGGCAGGTCATTGAACTTTGACTCTGACCTATATCTCTGGAAAAACGATATAAAATCATGGGCTCCGTCACATTCTCAAGTTTTTTTTTGTGGGGGGATGACCCAAATATCCATCACTTTTAACATTAGCAGGTTTTACGGAAGCAAATTTATTTGGAAAGGGGTTCTGGACCCCAAGATGCCCTACCCACATGAGGACAATTCAGTCAAGTTACTTCACCATTTTACATCGATTGGTAATCAATGCTTTTTATTTAGTGGCCTTGTGCCTGTCGAACATCACTATTATTTTTTCCTTTGACTGATCTTTCACACATGCAAAATTTGTCCATTAGGAGATCTAAAATTAGTGTATCAATATTTATAATGCATTGCTTAGCATTCTGTGGGAAATCGTAACATTTAGCGAACAATTGTCGTTTATTTGTATCAGCTCTATGAAGATCCTTTTTCCGGTTACCACCGTTGACGGCGCTGGTGGTCGAACATGAAGGTGGGTATTGTCCTTGTTTTTATTATTATTGTTGCCATTTGTACTTATTTAGTTTCCGTTTTCAATATTTGTTGTTTAACGGTAATTGACATGTTATTTGGCTTTGGAACTTTTTGAGAAGTGGTATGGTCTGCGCCCGCGCATGTTTCGTCGCATATGTGCCACGTTCCCAGACCGTAGCTGGGATTTTATTGGATAAGAGCTGTTTTCATCAGAGGCCTGTTTCACTAACAAATAAAGTGTGTAATTACAAAGAAAAAACGGTATTTATTTACTTTAGGACCGGCAGCCATTACTTTCGTCGCGAACCCCAAGTGATAGTAAAAAGCATATCGCATGACATAATTTGACCTTTTGATTTCATAGCTGATAGTCATTCATGGCACAAACAAGTTAAAATGCACCAATACAATATTTACCGTCACCGCCGTAGATCCCACCGACTGCGTACTCCACCGGCCACGCACTGCGCTCCAACGTTTAGTGAATACATATTAACGATGCTATTCAACTGTGATGAAAGTGACGTCATGAAATTTCTCGACGCGAAGCAGCGGCAGTGCCGAAGGCAATGCCTTAGGAGAGATTACAGGCAATGGTAGGTCAAATATTTTTAGGTTAAGTGGTTGTGTATTTGGCTTCAGGCCGAAGGCCTGAAGCCTAATGCACAATCACTTAACCTAAAAATATTTGACCTACCATTGCTTGCAATCTATTCATGCGAGCAACTTTTTCCTTATCCCCGGGTAGGCAAATATCAGTAGGTCAGGTTAGGTAAGGTTAGGTTATGTTCTGATAATTTTTTCCGTGTTTAATTTGCTATCCTACCCCATATCACCCAATTTTTAACCATTTGAATTTCGCCAATATGTATTTTTTTGGTATTATGACATTTTCATTGCATTAAACGTGCACATATTTTTCCTTTTCGCAAATGGCAACGGCGCAAACACGTTGTTTATATCGTAATCGCCGCATTCGTATAATTTTGTCGGTGTACGTTACGTGACACGGGGTGAGATGGCTGGATTTTATCAAGTTTTTGTGTGACTTTTTGCAGTTTTGGTGACATGTAAGTATCATTTCTTGATTTAGGATGTCAAATAATGGAAGATTGTCGAAAATTTCCCTTTGAAAAAGTGTGCCGGTCCTAAAGTAAATATTTAGGTACCGAAAAAACTTGAGTTTAAAAGAAATAATTACCAACATTTGAAATTTGGATTTCACGAAACCTCCGAGCATGAATTTTGAGTTTAAAATTTACCAACTTTTTTACAAGAAAAAAGTTTGTAAGAAACATCGAAATCGCAAACTTTCTGTTTCACGAAGACCGAAAACTTGAAAGAAAACGTTGTACTTACAAACCCGAAATTCCAGTGGCTCTTACGTTCGAAATTTTATTACTTTTTGTGCAATGATGCAAAGCAATCAATTATTTTAAACAAGTATGCTATGCTGAGTCATTATATGCTCTTTTTAACTTTGCACAATCCCTACGAACCAGCTACGAGCAATAAATAAATATCGTCATGTTTTGTCATTCGAGCGCCATAATTGCATTCAACAGTCTTCTGCTATCACATGTTTTACATGTTGTTTCCTTTCAATAATAAGATATTGTGAACTATCATTTATACCATTCAGAAACAGCATCAGTATTTATAATTTATTCATGCATTTTTTGACATGGCTACTAGACATAATCCGATAAAAAGAAGCAATATCTGTAACATGTTATAGTTCTTGATTAAAAACATTTTTACTGTTTACAAGTTTATTTGCAAACTCTTTTTATCGGAGGTGCCGCTGGTGATGAAGTTTAGTGAAATCCGATTTTACATAGTTTGCAAAAATACTTATGAATTGTAAAGTTCAAACACTTGCAATTGCAAGTTTTTAGTGAAACAGGCCTCTGGTTGAATCAATATATATCTATTATATCTTAACTAGATGGGTAAAACTTGTAAGGGGCTTGGTATGAATACCAAGCCCCTTACATTTCAGGTTTTTAATACTCATGGCTGATCAATGCATACCACATTATTTCGTTCAACCCCCGCATCAAGCTGTCAAAATTTTGATGCCAAGCCAGGTTATGGGTGGTTGGTGAAAACAGGAAGTGAAAGGGCATGAGCTATGGCACACAGCTGTATCCGATCATGTGACCTTCAAGGGTAGGTTGTAGGGTAGGTCTGTAGGTTTGTAGGTTGTAGGTTTTTAGGTTGTAGGTTAGGTCAGGTTAGGTTAGGTTGGGTTAGGTTTGTTTAGGTTTTCCTAGAAAGAAGGGTACTCTCTTAGCAGACGTCACCCGAGCTGCCATATCTACGTCTCATGTGCGCAACAATTGTCTTTTCACGGTTAAATATATAACAAAACATAATCTAACCTGACCTAACCTTACCTACAACCTACAACCTACAACCTAACCTACCAACCTAACCTACCAACCTAACCTACCAACCTACAACCTAACCTACCAACCTACCTAACTGGATATGGCAGCTCGGGTGACGTCTGCTAAGAGAATACCGAAAGAAGCACCTGGGGGTATGGCGCCTCTCCTTGGCTGGAAAACCTTCGTGTGATGTCTACTCTACTAATACCGGAAGTTTTCCCTCCCTACGTCTTCCACGGCGCAAGTCAGAATCTTAGTCATAGTCACATGCTCTGCACAAGTGAATTTGAAATTTTCAAGAACTTTGATCAAATCTCCTGAGTTGCCCTGTTTTTACCATTCAGATTATGCAAGATCCATTAGAAAATTGCATTTTTGTGCTGTGATCTATGTGAAATTAAGCCTTTCTTGATGTTGTGAGTGACCAAACCAGTAAGTGCAAGCCAGGGACCCCAATTTGGCTATCTCAGCATAAAACTTGTGTTAAGGTGGGATAGTCACTTTAAGCTGAAAAGAAATTCACTGGTTGGATGTGTCCCTGTGGTGCAACTGCAGGGAAATTGCACCAGATTTGCTGTGGTGTGCAGCCTATCTGGGTGCTGCTGAGCAAGTGCTGGCAGAGGTGACATAAATACTTATCAAATGAGTGAAGCACTTGATTGGCTGGTTAGAAAATAGATGCCTTTTATTCCTTTTTTCTATCATAAAGGAGGATGTCTCTGTAGCACAGTGAATTGGTAGAAGTCATTTTTGATGCAGGCTGGTACAGATATCCAGCTAGATTGGTGGTGGGTAAGACATTAGACCAGTCAAAGAGATGATATTCACAAATCCATCATTCAGCTGCTCCTAATGGTGACAAAAAAAAATGTTTCAGGGAAAAGGAGGAAAGTGCACTAGAGATTAATATTTATAAAAAATATGTTTTGGTATTCCAAGGCCATGAAAAACATGTTGTGGTTATTGCAACTCCTCATTCCAATGCCTTTTTGTACAGCATTGTGGTATCACAGTGGAGGCATTGGAGGCATTGTCTGCACAATGCCATGTTAGGACCATTCATCCATGCTAAATCTGCACACCACAGTGTGAAGGGCTGCAACTCCTTCATGCAGCTGCAAGATCTGATTAAACTTGTAGTGCTTTGCATTGTAAGGGGCATTGCACCCAAGCTTGTTTAAATTAGGTATAAATTAGGCAAATGAAATTAGATGTAAAAGTAATTGCTTGCATTTTTAAATGTCAGGCTCCATTTGAGTGTTTTCTATCCCATAATACTCCAGGCAACCAAACCAATTTCAGCCTCAACAATGCTTTGTGTTATGCTGATTACTTTTTGTGATTGGTGTAATTCCATTTCAAAGAAATTGGTTTAATTCAGATGAACTCTTTAAAATTGCCATATGGTTGTATTTGTCACAATTATTCCATAATTTCATGTTATTAGAATCCTTCACAAAGTCATACTCACGAGGGCATGTTCCTCTGAAAAGTATTGATGCCTAATTTGCTTGTCCTGACTAGAATTATGCATTGAGCTTCCATCAGCATGAATCAATGCTCTTAACTTGTTCAGCTCACATCATTGCCCTCATTTCTCCATTTGGGTTCAATTCCTCTTTTGACACCACATCAACATGAATGTAAGCTTGTGACAATTTATGCAAAGCTGTTCCTTTATCATTGCATTTATTTTTGCTATTGTGAAGAAGCTTGCATGTAGTAATATTTTTGGGGGATGGTTGTAATTTGACATCCCCATTGAGAGTAAGCCTAAATATGAATTAGGTTGACCTTATGATAATGTTCCATCATGCTGACCATTGCATTCTTCTTTTTCAGCTCAACGTGTCATACCCCGCACAGGGGTCTCAGAAGTTATTTGAAATTGACGATGAGAAGAAGGTGCGCGTTTTCTACGAGAAGCGCATCGGCGCCACCGTGGATATGGACTCGATCGGCGACGAGTGGAAGGGCTACGTGTGCCGCATCACGGGCGGCAATGACAAGCAGGGCTTCCCCATGAAGCAGGGAGTCCTTACCACCAGTGAGTTCTGGGCGGCTGGTGATGGTCGTACAGTAATTGACAATGATTTGTGCTCGACAAAATGAAAGTTACAATTGTTTATTTTGATTAAACCCTCGCCAGTATTGTTTATTTTACAACAGCTAGCGTATACCGGGGGGGGGGGGGATCTGGGTTGGTCGATCCTTTTAGTTCAAGTTTTAACTCCTGGTTTATTTATGTCATAAGAACACTACATTAGTTGTACAATGGGCACCTACTTTAAAGGGACCGTTCCACCTTCAAAAAAGTTTATGAATTGGCATGAAAGTGATGTCGCTCGGTTCAGAAAGAGCGAAAACGAATATCTACCAAATTTCACCGAAAAATATTCACCGGTTTTCAAGATATTAGACTTTTACTTTTGTTGACTTTTTGGGATCTCCCCTGTTCCTAGCGACTTTATTTGGAAGCAATAGTTTGGCAGCTGAAAGTGCGGCACTTGTTGCGCGCAAAGCAGCATATACCACCGCAGTGTAAAATTTTTACTTCACCGTTACCTGTGCAGATGAAAAAAGTTTTGTTTTTTACCAGTCAGTGATGAAAAAAATTGACCGATCTTAACATGCAATGATGATTTTTGAACAGATACTATGGAAATCTTCACCATGGTTGGTGGTTCAGTGCACCATCCAAGCCGAGGTCATTCATCCACCTTTTTGATCAGCTAGATATGTAGTTCAAGTTGCTGTCTTATTCATAGGTAATAAGAATGATCTACAGTAAGTGACATATTTATGAATATTCCTGCAGTCAATTCATTCTCAAAATTAGCTACCTAGCACATGGTTTGATAAGACTGCATGTCTGATATCATCATATCCGAGTCATTGGGTAAGAAGGTATCCGGGTACAAGCAGAAATGGGGACAGTTTTTTGAAAAGATGCTAATCAGGACAGACTCATCAAATAAATGCAGAAACATTGTTTTAGATGGGCACACGTTGAAAATATAAGCAAATGGGCTAAAATTTCATCGTATCAGTATGGACCTATGGTCATTATTCACAAGTTATGGGCAACAATCAGCACCATCTTCTCTGATCAGAGAGGATAGTGCTCGAGTTGAAGGTGAAAAACTTCTTCACAATGTAAAATTAAAATAATTCTGAAAATAAAAATACCTACCAGGTTTCAGAGAGCTACCCAGCGACGCATTATCATTACGTTGCTTATATTGCTTATATCCTGATCATTACCCTCTCTGAAAACGGAAGGCACGCGACGCGTTGTTTGCGCCGTAGTTTGTCACGCTGGCGCCAGCAAATGCGGCTACTTAATAATTGCGTTGCATTAAACCGAACCCGGCCCCCGACACCGTAAGAGGTGCAATTTCCCTCGAGACATTACCCAGCCTGCATGGCATCAAATCGGAAGAAACTTGCACCACACAGTTCAAAAATGATCGAGGCTGTCACATATGTATAGTATTTGCCATATCTTTCATCAAATCATGAGATAGCTTGCGTCCATGTTGCAGCCTGGACACCAGTCCGAGGATGAAATTTTTGTTCATTTTCGAAAGGCAATATTTTTATATCAACAGCAATCTAAGAGTTTGTATGTATCTTATAACGAAGTCCAGTGTCTTATCTTCTAAAAAATGCATTACAGTCATAAAAATATTGACTAGACTCCCTACAAGCATTCTCGACTGGTGACTAAAAATCGAAGAATTTTTCATCCTCGGACACTCTGTAAGAAAACAGCTATAATTTCCCTAATATTCAATATTTTTCGATTATATCTTCAGCAAACATGGAGAACGATCCATTTAACATGCTAATCCAAACAGCAGATGATTTGGAAACTTCATGAAGGCGTGAGAGATCCCCGCGGTTACCTGGAAAATTTCATCCTCAGCCTGGCATTTTTAATGCTTTTTCATCCCAATTTCATCATTCGGTTGTAGAACTAGTTTAATGCAATTCTTCAGGGAATGTTTATACAAAAGCAATAAATTAATTTAATTTTAATTTTTAGACATTATTTGATTGATAATATTGTATTATCGAGTGTATTTATCTGCACTTACCTACACCTTTTTATTGTTCTGTTTCTTTTTTTAATCGAGGCAATCACGAAGCGCATGATACATACACTGTGCTGAGATATTTCCATGTGTCATTACTATCATTGCTGATTGGAAAGGAAGGTGCGTATAATTTATCATGTATATTTTTTGTGGTTTTCATGATAGGTGCAGTTTTTAACCTTCTAACATTATTTTGGGACATTTTAACCGATTTGAATAAGGATTTGGTGCATTTGTGTTGAAAGATGAAAATTATGAGCCAGGATGAAAAATTAGCAGATTTCATTAACTGTGATTTTCCAGGCTAATACCGGAAAAATTTTACACTGTACCACCGCGTGCTACAAAACGTTTTAGTCAAACATTTAAAAATCGTTAGATATCTGCGCTGACGTCACACATTCAGAGGGGTATTCCTATCCATTAGCCCCTCTGAATCAAAATGCTGCAATTTTGAAATTCAATATTTCCGATTTAAGGCATTTCTCGATGTTGTGAGTGCCGAAACCGGTAATTGTGAGCCAGGGACCCCATTTTGGCTATCTCAACTCAAATCTAATGTTAAGGTGGGAGGGTCCCTTTAACCCTCGCCCGTATTGGTGTTTTTTTTTTCAGCCGCGAACGGAGGGGGGGGGGGGGGGAGGTCCGTTGGACCCTCTTGCCGTTTCGCCCCTGATCGAGCTAGAGCTTCGCGGAAAAAACGAGCGTGTTGCCCGTGACGAGAGGAAGCCGATGATTCCCAATTTTAAGGTCTTAGGTCATTGGTTGACCTTCCAGGTCAGGTTAATGACCCAAAAGAAGAAAGTCGTAAAATGTGGCTGCTATGGGGTTATTTGGGGTGTTGATCACGAATATCATGCTAGTTGTGATCACGGATGATGTCTTCATTCATTTAGGCCAGGTCGGGTCAGGTCAGGTCAACCAGTAGGGGTCCTGCCGGATATTCGTAGTAGGTGTCAACCGCCTCTGACAGCTTTGTAACATCGTAACATGTTACAAAGGCACCAAAACTACTTCGTAAACCTTCATATGGTTGCTAAATTCGAATTCAGCTCGAAAAACTGGCTTAGAAACATGTAAAGCTCGAAAAAGTGGACCGAGGTCACCAAAGGTCAATGACCTGACCTAACCTTCAGGTGACCTTGACACCCACCCTAATGCATGGGGGCAACATCATATCACATGTTTGAACGCTTGGAACCACGAAAAAAGACTGCAAACTCGCTGTTAATGCGAGCCGACATACGCCGAATCGTGATTCCGGCCAAACATAGTCTCGAAAAGTAGGTGAAAGGTTATTAGGATCAGGGTCATGAAATTTTCAGGTAATGTGTGAAATTGATTGACGCGAGGGTACTGAAAGTTACGTCGCGATCGGCCGTTTTTTACGCGAGTTATTCGCGAAAAACCGAGGGGGTGTCCATTCGACCTCCCCCCCCCCCCCCATATACGGGCGAGGGTTAACCCAGGCTTTTCGACTCACGTACTTCCTACTGGCTGTTTTTATCGTTTGGTAGGGGAGACCGGGGTATGTTTCACATGAACAATCATCGCTAATCCATGCGGACATGTTTATCAACATTTAATGACAAAACGCAAAAGTTTGCTGTACTCCTGCGGCAAACAAGAAAAAAAGAAACGCAAAATGTGTATGCCCAGCTTCAGATGCTTTTACAAAATGCACCACCAAACTCACTAATTCGCTGTCCAAGTAACAGTTTTGAAAGATGAAGACTCTGCTGCCCCCTGTGCAGAGCACATGTGCCCAATCTTCACACTGCAAGCATTTCTCCCTCGACTTGCTGTTGACAAACTTACCCAACCTGCCCCACATCAACCTGGCCCTTACTAACCCCGAAGCGCCATTTTTATTTTGGAACCACGTGACCACTTCACAATGATTTGGCGAAGAACGGTTGAGAGTGTACTCATGGCCAAAATGTCCGCAGGTCTCTCAGGCGTAGCGAATTTGCAATGTTTCCACTATCAATGACACTAGAAGAGAATATTTTCAAAGCAAGGAAATCACTTTAAGTACCTGAAAACACATTTTTAGCGAATATTAACAGCACTTACCTCAGGACGCGCTGACACCAGGGCCTCGTTTCATAAAGCGAGTCCGTAACTTACGCCGGTTTTGGGGCTTGTATTGCAAGCGCATGTGAAGCGATAAATCTATTTCACCTTCTCCCTTCTGTTCTTGCTTGCAAGATAAATAAATTCAACGATTCAAACTATCGTCATCGCTTCACATGCACTTGCAATAAAAGACCAAAAACCGGCGTAAGTTACGGACTCGCTTTATGAAACGAGGCCCAGGTTGACAAACAGACGGCGTTACTGTGCATGCGCAAAATAAGTTTGAACGCCAACTGCCAAGAAGTATTGGAAATATCCCCTCCTTCCCAACTTTATACCCCTGGCACCAACTAGCCCCAGTCTCCCCTACATAGTCATTATGACATGCTTCTATATTTCCACGTTTTTAGCATATGAAGTGTGCAGCATATAAATCTTATATAACAGATGCCAGCTATGGTGTGCAGTGCAAGTCTATATGTGTCACGCCTAGTCTTTATAGCTCCCAGTGACTGTACTTGGCAGCGAGAAACAGTTACTGAATGCAATGCACACTAATTTGTCCACAGACCGTGTGCGCCTGCTGCTCAGCAAGGGCCACTCGTGCTTCCGTCCGCGCAGGAAGGGATACCGCAAGCGCAAGTCTGTGCGCGGCTGCATCGTGGACGCCACCCTCTCCGTCATCTCCCTGGTGCTGGTCAAGAAGGGCGAGCAGGTGCGTCAGCGGCGGGCGCGATCAGTGGTCAGGACTTTTGCATCAGTTTCATTGGGCTGGGCTAAACATGTATGGACACTGGACAGCCGGTTAGAGAATCGCTTTTCGGTCTTTTGGTTAAGATTAAAGTGTAACTAGTGTCATCAGCTGCTGGGCATAGGATGGTTGGGTATATGGCTGGCGGTATCTAGTGTAGCAGGATAGCGGTTCGCTGATGCTGTAGTCCGTGCTCCCTATCTCCGCTGTGTCCCCCTGCTGACGCGCTCTGTCGCTCGGGTCCGACAGGAGATCCCCGGACTGACGGACGTCACCGTACCGCGCCGGCTCGGACCCAAGCGTGCCAACAACATCCGCAAACTCTTCAACCTGACCAAGGAGGATGACGTGCGTCAGTACGTGCTCAAGCGGCCGCTGCCTGCCAAGGAGGGCAAGGAGAACGCCAAGCAGCGCTTCAAGTCGCCCAAGATCCAGCGCCTCATCACCCCCGCTCGTCTGCAGGTGAGGCGGCCCCGGCGACGACTGCGGAGAGGAGCGCCTTTGTTAACACGCGCAGTGGAAGGGGGGGGGGGCGGATTTCGCCCACCCCTCCTGTTTTTCGCCAATAACTCGCGCCGCAAACATAATATTAATGTGAAATTTCGGCTACCTGTCCAGAATTGAATTGCAGATCTTCTCGTGCAAAAAATAAGAAAATCGGTTCACAACTTTTCTAGTAATAACGGTGTAAAGTCAAACATCCTGCCGCCGCGGCGGCGCGGCGGCCGGCGCTAGCCGTTACGCGCCGCCTGAATTGTAGACTGTGCCGGGGCGGGACGGTTCCGTCTTTACATCGCGCTCCTTACCGCTGATTATATTAGATTCGCGTCAAATTCGGTGAGAAGACTGAGAAATGTACGGGCAATCATATGGTAAAAGAATTTTGAAAATCGGCCGGTAACAACTTGAGTTATGAGTGTGTAAACACAAAATTGTGATTGCCGCGTTTCCCGCGTCAGCCGATCCCGATTCAGCCGGCGACATTTTACCCTTAGCAGGCTTCTAACTGCCATATTTATCGCTGGATTATCTAGAAATTCACATTACATACTCACAAATGTTTGTTCTTTCGTATAGTGAAAGAAAAAAGAAAATCGGCCGGTAACTTTTTGAGATATCGGCGTGTAAACGCAAAAAAGTCGCTCATATGGCAGATTTGACCACATTTGACCTCATTTGACCTTGAAGCTATTGACCTAGGGTCATGAAATTCACACACAACAGAGTTCCCCATGGCCCCCACCTACCCTCCAAATTTAGTCTTTCTAGCTCCAGTGGGAGCTGAGATCTTAGGGGGGGGGGGCGACATCCGCCCCCCCCCCCTTCCACTGGGCGTAGTACTCGCAACCCTTCCACTGCGCGTGTTAACCCGCGCGGGGCTGGGGTCTCCAGCCGAACGCGCGGGGCTGGGGGGGGGGGGGGGTAAATTTTACCCCCCTGTTATCTCCCGAACTAATGGTCCGATTTGGAAAAATCAAACGCCAATCGAAAGATCTCATCACGAACAACTAAAAACATGTACCATAGATAACATGAATCTGGATTGGACACGAAATCATCCTGATGCAGAATGGGGCCGAAATTTTCGGAATGGGGAATAGACTATTTTTCTGTCAAAACAAGTCAAACAAAACAAGTTCATGTGCCGTTTGGGCTGCCGCTTGAATGGCAATACCTTTGCTCCGACGTTTTGATGTTTTTTTGCTCATATTTCTTTAGAAATAAATAAAAACGGGTTTTATTAGAACCGTATATTGCAACATTGACAAGTGGTTCATTAGCTATGCAGTGGTTACAAGACGCCACAACGAGTGGAGATAGGGCGAAATACGCAGACAACATAAAACATTAATGGCAAATGAGCATGTTCGCCTCACGCCTGAAAGGGTACGCTCGCCGTTTTCCGCCCCCTCCAAACTGTGACACGTCGAGTACGTGCATATAGTAGCGCCGAGCAACGCAGGTGGACTTGAATCCTCCCGACAGCCGGGTGCCGCTCAACAGTGGCGGTCGTTGCAGTGCTCGCACTCCGCCATTGACCGGTTCGGAGCCGGTGGACATCCACCGCAGGAACCGTCCTGTCGCTGTCAGTGATAGCTGGTGATAGCAGTGATCCCATCAGCTGTCTGTGCCTTCCGGCCAGCCATGCCTGGATGGTGCGGGCCCTCGTGTGCGGCTGCGTCTCCGTGGGCCGTCTAGAGGTCCACCGGGACTCGATTCTGGTCGACATCGCTCGTTTTCCTGGCAATGACATCGACTCTCACATCGCACTCCAGGCCGCAGCGCGAGGACACCCATGCTGAGGTGGCCGGCTGACAGTCCTCGGAGAATCCTTCAGCTCAGCAGGGGGCTCTGGACGGCTGATCTGTAGCGGAGAGAGGCGGCGAAGGCGGATTGGGAGTCGCTTAGGCAGAAGGCTGTTTAGAGAACAGTTGTCTTTGGTTCATGCTACATGTCGAAGGAGCAATGAACAGGATAGTCTGTTTTTCGTCCTTGGGCTTCCTACCTTACCACCATACAGGCGTCCCAGCCGCCCTAGCCACTCCACGAAGCTGTTCGCTTCGGGTCCTCTGAAATCACATCTACGGTTGAATCTAGTCAATCGTATAAACAATCCTCTTTCTCGATACCACTGGGCAGTGGGCGGGCAACTGAGCAGCCGACCAGCCAGTAGTGGGTGACGGTCTTCCCTCGTCCGAGTCCTCGCACTCTGGGCACGCGTCGTCTTCCTACAGCTCGATGCAGTGATTGTAAGCTCCTAGCAGCGTCCAGTAGCCGTTGGAAAGTCTAGCAGCTCCGACGTTCTTCTGGCGTAGAGGGCAAGAAGTTCACCCGGCGTGAGCCATTTTAGAGTAGTTAACGGGTCTTCTGTAGAGCCGTTTATACCAGTGCCTATGAGCGTGCGCCTGAGTCTGTATCTCGCCGACCGCAAAGCGCAAAAGCCTAACTCTGTACATGGCTCACTCTGGCGCTCGCTCGTTTGTTGCCCCAAAAGGCGTCTTGGTGTTACTATGGTTCCAGGAACCCTGTAGCTGTATCGGTGAACTTGCAGTGCTGACGACCCATGGTGCCTCGGCTCGCTGATTAGTACTGTATCCAATTTACGGCGCCAAAATTTCATCAGTTTTCTTGAAATTGTTAACTTTCGTTTCAAAGCATAGTTACTAGGTACCAAAGTAAGTCTTCCTCAAATTGACGGCCTCAGCTGGGCACCATAGAGGTGGACGCTTGGCTACGATTATGTGAGCATTAGGCATTTTTGTGTGACTGTGGCCTTTCCGAAGAGACGAGATTTTCAGCATTACAAGGCCGAGGGCACTGCAGCTCCTCTCTTGAACGAGAAGAGGGCAAAAAACATTTGAAGTCCGTCTATGCAACTTGGCTGCCCCGGAATGCTCCTGGTTGAGGTCTCGATCCTGTGTGGTAGAGTTTTCATTGGAATGGAGTCTTTTTTTGTCAGAAAAAAAAACGCGCTTGTCGCTTGTTGTTCGTCTTCTCCGCAGTAGCGCTTCTTATTCCTTGCTTTGCTGTTTGAATGGCTCTCCAGTCATCATTCCTTTACCGTGTTTCCTTTTGTAATGTAAGCCATAAGCTAAAAAGCGTGAAATTGTAAACGAAGCGCATATGCCTAAGTATCAATCACTTGAATTGATTGGAAAATATGTTGAATCGATTATGATCACAAAATAAAAGTAAACCACAAATACTTGTGCTCTGATTACTTTGCGAAATAATACGGTTTGAATTGAAATGTTTAAATAATGCATCGTCCAATGCAAGTTATGGTAAATTTTAGCAGATCGATCGCGCGGAAAACAAACAAAGGATCCTACTGATAAATTTTCGGCCCCATTCTGCATTTATCGGATTTCGTGTCCAATCCAGATTCATGTTATCTATGCATGTACTTAATTTAAAGTTTGGGGTCAAGGTCAAGGTCAGGTCAAGGGTACAAATTGCAAGTTTCTACAGTATCGGCCTTGCACCGTAGTTGCCGAAGAATGGAGTCATCGACTGAGACTGATTGCCCAAAACGTGTTCTTAGGCTACCAAGACAATATTCGTTGCATACAATATCATTCAGAGGTCAAGGTCAAGGTCAGGTCAGGTCAGGTCACCAAAAAACAAAATATAGAAAAGGGCATGTGCGACACATGTTTTATGGGTCATTTTACTCATAGAATTCAATAGGCACACTCAATAAGTGATATGGACCACCTCTGGATGAATTTCAGGTCAAGGTCAGGTCAAGGTCAGGTCAAGTGAGGTCAAATTTTGAAGTTGGTTGTTAAGGCCTAAAAAGGTGTCTATCTGATGCAGTTTTTCACGGCGAATCGAATGGTGCTATTTCTGTTTCCGTACGAGGTCTAAAACTTCCAAAAAAATCATTTTTTTTCAAAATTTTTGTGTGTCGTGACGTCATAAAATCTTGAATAACTCCCACATTTTTGAACCGATTCTTCTAAAAATTGGTATGTAGGTGCACATAGACCACTTCTCTGACATATATTCCGGTTTTATCGATACACTCAAAATTTTGGATTTTATAATTATTTTCCCAAAAAAGTCAGTTTTTTGAAAAAATTTGGGCCAAAATCCAAAATTTTCAAAAAACCGAGATAGCCATTTGATAAACAAAGTAGAATTACGTATAACCTTTTTTGTTAAGTCTTGATTCCTTTAAAAATGAAGATGTTAGCGGCGTTTGAAATTTTGTCGTTTTTGAGGCGTAAATGGCGAACATGACGTCACTAAAACGTCAATTTCTGAAAAATTTCCGACGGATTTCGCTCAAATTTTCAGGGAACGTGTCAAATTGATGTGAGAAAAGGTACTGAAAGTTTGGCGTCGCTGCGCGCCGCCGTTTTTGAGATATTGCAAAAATTCGCGAGGGGGGTAAAATTTACCCCCCCCCCCAGCCCCGCGCGGGTTAAGCTTGTCCCGTGCCCATGACGTGCGCCGATTGTCACTAAAATTATGCTAACAAGCCACAAGGGTCGTCGGTAACGTGCTCAGTATGCATGGCTTATTCAATCTTGGGTATTCATTCAATGGGAATGACGGCACTGGGGACGTTACGTTGTTCGCCTCTGCAGTTTCTATAATTTTCTGAAAAGTAAGTTTTTCTCTTATAGAGATAAAATAAATCGTTTTTTTAATGACCAACAATGCTTTCATAAATTGCAAACGCATACGAAAACGAAATAAAGAGTGTTGTAACTTGTAGTTAGTTGAGAAACACTAGGAAATTATACCCCCTACAGCGTCCAATGTGTAAGATATCTCGATCCGCCAAAGGACGTGACATGGTATCGGACTGCTGGCCCGAGTGTTTGTAAACGGTTATGTAGTTGCTTTATATTTCGTTGCTGGAATGGGCGCCTTGTAGATTGCTGGACTTTGTTTTGTGCGTATTTATTGTCGTGGCAGGCGGAGCGCTCTGTTTTTATCTCAATCATCATGTCCATTTTTTCCACTATCGATCAACAAAATTGTTTCCTTTTTCACGCTCTCGCTTCTGTGTCTGCCTGTAAGGTATTCCAGCCGCGGCTTTCTATCCAGAATCGTGCACCACGTCCCCCGCTTGTCCCTCCGCCCCCTCCACCCGCCACTGACCCCCCCGCCTCCCCTGCAGCGCAAGAGGCACCGCGCCGCGCTCAAGAAGCGCCGCGTCGAGAAGCGGAACGTGGAGGCGGCCGAGTACGCCCGCCTGCTGGCGCAGCGCGCCAAGGAGACCACAGAGAAGAAGAAGGAGGCTCGCCGCCGGCGCAGCTCCATGCGCGACTCGCAGAGCTCGCAGGAGGCCAAGAAGGCCGCCAAGTGATCGCACCATCGCTCGCCGACTAACACACAATACATGGATACGGTGTGACGCCGGCTCTGCTCGTTTGACAGGGAAACGCAACAGGTGACCGGGCTGAGGGCCGGTGATGGACACCGGTGTGGGGGGGGGGGGGATCTGGGCGGAGTGCGTACTGCGTAGCATATGGGTGGATAAATACTGAATGCGTACGGGTTGGAGCAATACGAGAAGAAATGGGGAGCAACTCACAGTGGCCCATGTGCTGCTGATGTGCCGCTGGCTTGCCGGGATGCCGTCACACCACCTCGGGCATTTTGCGCCCCTCTCCTAAATCTTATCTCAGATAACTCGCGCTGGGTCCATTTATGGTAGCATATTTTCCTTTATCCGTGCGGCCAACTTCTCAGTTACTTTCCTTTCCTTGTCATAAAACTTAAGTAAGTAAAGCCGTAAAATATCCGTTATGGGCGCAAAATGACCTTGCAGTCGGCGCGCCCAAACAAACAAACAAACGAGAAGAAATGCCGTCGCACGGGGCTGAGCAATATGAAAGAATCATGTACTGATCCACTTCTCTGGGGCTTTCTTGCTCCGTTACCTCTGCTATTCGCTATCACTCAGAGTAGTGCGAAACATATGGAACAGTCCACCCGCACATTGGGACCAAATAGTTTGTACAGGGTGTCCCGAAATTGACGCGCCGTTGTTTAATCCACAATAACTTAAAAACACTTGAATTTATTTCACGGTCTACATGTAGGGTAGTTTGGGGTAATTTGAACATATTTTTACGTCTTCTCCGTTGTACCGAATTCCAGCTCAACCCTGGATGAAGAATAACTGTTTCAGTAGCGCATGTGTCACTTGCTTTTACCATGCAAGCCTCATTTTTGGACGAGCCGAGCATACCTTGAAAAGCATAGCATCACTTCTCCACCAAGTCACGGTGTGTTCCAATTGCCCCACCGTGGGGTAATTTGAACAAACTGCCTTTACCTGCCATAAAAACGATAGTCTCGCCAGCACAGATGTTGTTTGACCCATAAACGAATAGGCAGAGCAATTCTAAACACACCTTCATTTGAAAAATCAACACAACAACAAAAAAACAGTTGCAGAGTATCAATATCTGCACGCTGCACACCGGTCAGTTGACAGAATTCGCCTCTCTTCAATTAACAGAACGTCTATCATCTCCGTTCGATAAAAACTCTACCAAACCTTACTTCATCTGCTATAGTGGTGCCAATCGGAACCTGAGGGCTGTTCACGGGCCCTGTGTGCGGTCGGACCGCACACAGCCTCCAAGCTCCGCCTACTGCGTCCCTACGTCAGCCTTCCGTCACCGCACACAGCGATCGCTGTGGCCGGTCGGGACTGGCCACAGCGGACCGTCCACCGCACGCAGCCGTGACGTCAGAGCCGCCTACCCATCCCCTACCCCCACGCCTGCTGGACGCACCGCACACACCGCACGCAGCAGTGTGCGGTGCCCGTGAACACCCCTCTGGACATTCGGAATTCCGATTCTTTATAATGTCCAATTCGGAATTGATTGCACAAAAGTATAGTAGTCTGGACAACATTGGGCGATGGCCTGCCACACTTAAGCATTTTTATCAAGCAATCGTGCGTAGCATGGATTGGCGAATGGAAAGCTTGTTAAGCTCTCAATATAATGAACACTTATCGGCTGGTAAAATTACATGATAAGCAATATAAATGACGGTTTTGAGTGTTGATAGCTGCATAATTTTCGGACATATTTGAACAAATAGTTGAGCTTAACATTTTTGGACGGGAAATCAGCGAAAATGCCGGACAATAGACGGATATTATACGTAAATTTTATAAAACTGGCATCACTTATCTGCTACTGCTTTGGGTCGAAAATATTGGCAAAAAAAAAAAACTGGGAGCGTTGTTTTTTCGGAGCTATCCCTGTCTTCATTGAAATCCTCACACTATGTTCAAACTTCAAATAACTCCACGCTAAAAGTTATTTGCCATTTTTAAAAACAGGGTTCAAAAGCAAATTTCGTGGATTGAAGGCACTGATTAGGTCATTGTACAACAAAAGCCGTTGCGTATTAGGCGCTAGCAATGCAAGATTTTGCGCTGCAATGAAGTTGCAATGACGTGTTGTTAGGCGTTAATCCTTGCAAAATTGATTGTTTACACTGTGCGTCAACATCTTCATTCCCTGAAACTTAAAACCCCGTTCATATAATAGCCCTTTTAGTTACGATAATTTCTCTCATTGGTGTAATTGTCATGCCACTTATGAATTTTCCGTATTTTTGTGTTATTCACACTATGTTCAAATTGCCCCACATGTTGAAATTACCCAACCCTACCCTAGTCTCCATTCAGTCGCATACACGGCCTATTGCACTCTAGCGTGTCACGTTTCAGGTTGTCAAGAGTCTCTCCTTTGAAACTGCGCCATGCCGTTTATAAATTCTCCCCTCTGAGCTAGCCAGTGGAAGCTTGCTGAGCTTTTTTTCTGACGATCGTCCGGGTAATTTGGATATGTGACCGGTCCAGACTGTTGCCAGACCATGTCCCCTTATCCCAGACTCCAGAGGCCTGGGAGCCTCGCTCGGCACCAGTCCTGGGTCTTCCTTTTGTGATAGGCTGGAGCCCTTTCTTGCTGGAAAATGGGCCTGGGTATGTCCGACATAAGTTTGACTCTGGTTTGGAACCATTTGCCTTTTTATTCAGCATCTTTGTGGCAGCAGTCTTCTTCAGCAGTTCCCTGAGATAGTAATCAGCAGTCACGGTCTGTCCCCGCGGTACCCAGCAGATGCTTCACCGACTCGACAGCGGACTCCTCAGAGCTGCTGTTGATCCACATTTCGATCGTTCTGGCAGTTACGGGCTTAGAGAGCACAAAAGGCACCTCGTCACTGAAAAGGACACATCTCCAGTCCTGAATGGTCCAGTTTTTGTGGGTCTCGGCGAAATCGAGCTGCCTGCACTTCTGGACCACGGAAAGCCAGGTCTGCATCCTGAGCATAGGTGGAGAACCTACCCCGGCCGTGGCCGGGGTAAGTTTTCCACTCCTGTAAATCCTCAAAGCTGTATCTACATGCGAGAAAAAAAAAACGAAGTGCCACCTATGAGGGTGTCCCTCTTATCTGCCTTTAGAATTTTCTATTTTGATTTTGAAGCTTCTACTCAAAACTTTTCATCGAGAAGTCCGACAAGCTTGAAGAAACGGAATTAAATGCTAATCAAATAAAGTAGAACACCCCTAATTGGTGGACGTCATGCTGCTATAAGAGGCTGAGTTGTGATGTATCTCTCGACGGTTGTGCTGTGCTGCCCCTAGCAGAGGTTGTGATGCTCCTGTCGGAGGTGAGAGGTTGTGATGCCTTTGACAGAGGATTTGAATTTCGATGCTTCTATCAGAGGTTGCGGCACACGCCAGAGGTTGTGATAATAATTACCCGAACTTGGCAGCTTCGTACGACGCACACGATGGTTGACGATCGGCTCAGTGGTGGCATTGGGCACCAGTGGCAGACTATGATCCCCGATCAGTCGTCGGTCTCAATACATACACGGAGGTGGCGTCATCTGGTGGAAAATAGCTAGCGTCCTCTTCTCAGGTCTGTTAATCGCGCAGGTTCCACCGCCAGCGCACATGCAGATGGGTCAGTTAGATGGAGTTGAGTGTTCTGTTCCTACTTAGATCGGTAATCTCAGTGCATATCACAAGAATGCAGGTTAGAACTTTAGTTTTAATTAGATTCCAGTTGTAAATGGGCTCTTACTTGATACTTCGGATTGGACCTACGAATGTCATCTTGTGAAATCTGACAAAATTCACAGCAAGGATTCCAGACTGGAAGTTGGCATCATAGGCGTAGGAACGTTTTCGAAAGTGGGGGGGGGGGGGGCAGGCTCCCAGAGGTCTAAAACCTAACCCACCCCCAAAATCCAATTTCTCCTCGGATTTCGGCCACTTTGTTTTCGCAAACATGCTCAGAGGTAAAAAAAAAATCGAGACAAAACCAAAAATAAAAGTAGTTAAATTTCAGGGAGAGTCCCGTCCATAAACTCAAACTGATTGACGCGTTCCCCTGTCCTCCGCAGCCGTTGGTACCCATGCAAATTCCAGAGGCATCCAGCAGCTTTTTCATTAAGAGCAAGCGTGAAATGTGCAAAGCGAGTCTTTTCAATATACCTATAAAAATCAGCATGAACGGCCCAGCTAGGCTCAGCCAGGCCTGTAACGTTTTTAAGAGGTTTTATATTAGCGACCACTGCAACTGGGCTGATTGACTGTCAGAGGCCGGTGCGGGACTTTTAGAGGCCGGTCTGGGCCCTCAGAGGCCGTTCTGGGCCCTCAGAGGCCGTTTAACACTCGCCGGCCCGGACCTATAAGTTTTCTACATACGCGCCGGCCGAGGGGGCGGGGAGCAGGTACGACCCTCCTCGCCGTTTTGCCCCAGGTGGAGCTAGCGCGTCGCGGAAAAAACGAGCGTGTGCGCCGTTACGAGACGCAGAGATCGATACCCGATTTTAAGGTCCTAGGTCAACCGTTGACCTGAGGTCAAGTCAAGTGCCTCAAGGCACAGTTCCATTTTTGGTGAATAACTTCGCAAAAAAACAGCCACAGAGCCGCGATTTTGCCAGCATCGTGTTATCCTCTCTCAGGCGCGTCGAATGATATACTTTTTGTTTGGGTGAGGTAAACTTAGAGTGTTGACCTCGGGTCACGGTCAGGTCAGCGTCCCCAGGTCACGAAATTGGTCGAATGAGGTCATGTCTCATATCCTTCGATTCGGAAGGTCTTCCTGAGTCCATTGGTGGCTTTCCCGACTCGCTAGCTCAATTTGATCGGTAGTTATTGACGAAAAACTAATATGACCCTTATAACATCATAAATGACGTCGCGCAAGGTCAACATTGCAAAAGTGACGCATCGAACCTTGCAAGGAGTGCATGAAATCACGATTCGGTGTCCTTGAGATAGTTGGAGATCGTTCCCGGCGCCAGAAAAAGTTTTCAGTTTATCCCCATTGACTTATACCTAATGGTGAGGTCACGAAAATGACCTGACCTCAT